TTAGTAACATCGTAAATACTTTTTTCTACGTTATTTTTTTCAGTTGCCGAAGATGAGGATCATGCGGGAAATTGCTGCACTAAAACCAAGGTTCTATTTAGTTTCTTTAGTTTCGTACTCAGTTCCCTCGCCACATATGCTGATATTTTTATATAACAACAAGAATACCTTGCAATTCAATTCTACTCAGCCAGACAGCTTCAAATTTCTGAAGAACATCGGATGATCCCAAACCCTTCCAACACAAGGTCGTAGTAAACTCGTTCCCACATCTCTCTTCTTGCCGCCCCTCTCCACAGCAACCAGAGAGAAGAAAAGAGAGAGTGCAGCCTCTGTGGGAAGAGAGATTGTAGTCATTTTTTGTACTTGCTTTTCTTGTAACAGACAATCATCATGATGAAAATAACGAAATACCAACGTAAAAGTTTAAATTCAACCGTGGTATGACCCGCTGTTTAATTAAGTTGTTACCACAACTGCTACAGCCTTTTTTCTAATTCGCCCCTTGGTGACCCCCCTGTTTTTGATTGCTTTCTCATGACACTAAACTAGTCTTTTCTTTTTTCTGCTCAGAACTGGTTCACTAAATTCCCCAACGCAACTTGGCCGATTCTGATAACTGAATTTGGTGAACGTTTCTCTTATTATGGAATCAAAAGTAAGTAACTGCACATAGTAAGCCTTACTGGGATATTCCAACAAGCAGTATTGCATACGTTTTACACTGTCAGTCGCATGGGCGAGCGCACGTGCGCGATAATCACCGAGATCGTGAACGAGAAATCCAGGGAGGAGAATAATGGGGACACGAGGCGCAACGCGTCGACTTGTCCGAAATTCTTTCGCTCGCCGTCGTGAGCTCGCGCGACCCCTACCTCTTCCCCTCGTCTTCCCATGCACCCCTCCTTATCAATATTCTCCCTTTAAATATATTTCTATGTCATCTTTGATTTTTTTTTAAGCTATGGACAGCCCCTTATTGTTCAAAATCGTCGCACGCGAGAACAAAACTGACCGCGAGAATTTTGGGGGTCAAAAGACCCAAGATTTCGGGCGGGTTTCTTTCTCCATTCTATGTGTTTTTTTGTTTCTGTTCCTCAATCCACTCCCTACCGTAGCGTTTCCACTAACTACGAAACTCATTAGTATCTCCCTGGAACCTGAAATCAAACAATATCTCACCAAATAGGGTCTTTAATCGAAAGAATCTCATCGAACTCGCCGTTTCCATTCCCACCCTACATTGATCTAAGTTTCGCTCAAGAGAACGTTTCACATATTTTCTTTTTCTTAGCGGTGCTGGTGCTGTATTTGACCAAAGACCTCATGTTCAACAAAGCAAATGGCAAGAGTATATATCATGCTTTTAGCATGACTAGTTACTTTACCGGAGTTATCGGGGCCATGATTGCTGACAGTTGGCTAGGAAAGTATCGGTAAGTCAATAAGTCATAGAAATTTTCACTCCAATAGTCAACCTTTTACTGTCTATTAAGGTATAATATGTGGTTCTTAACTTTCAGTCTGTGGATCAAACCCTAGAGTGTGACCATTCAAATGAAAGCTATTGAGCAGTACTTTCATGTGGTACTGTTTATTTTGCCGTGCAACATGGTTCTAACTTTTAAGTCTGTGGATGAAGCCCTACTGTGTGACCATTCAAATGAAAGCTATTGAGCAGTACTTTCATNTTAAAAATAATGGCGAGGCATGTTTATGGACTTTGTGGGGAAATAAATTAGCAAAGATGACCTGAAAGCATTCAGATTAACCTCAAAAGCTGACCAGGATCGCAAATAGGATGCATGACTTTTTGCCTGACTTTTTTGTCGCTTTATCTACTGCAGATTTTTTTTTGATAATTGCCTAACCCCTCCTTCCCATAAAAAACATAATGGTCCATCCCTTACGTTTTTCAGACAATTACGTTGATGGACAGAAAATTAAAGGTATTGATAATTTACGGACTTTACGATAGTCGTTTTAGCAGTAACAAATCTTTCTTTCTGTTTCTTTGCAGCTGATGTGCAGTGTTTTGGAAGGGACTGTTATCCAGCAGTGTTTGCAATTAACACTATTCTTATCATTGGGGCAACCAGTAAGTTTGTTGTGGAAAAGTGCCATTGTTATCACTGTATTGGACGCGAACGGACTGTAAGTTCTCTCCAGACCCCTTTCGGTAGAACGCAAGTTTCTAGTCTCGAACTAAACGGTTTTACGTGTAACCTTTGCTGTAATGTTTTTCTTTGTTTACAGTTTCTCTTGTTGCGGGAAAGCGGCTGTACACGCTAAAAGATCCATCTGGTAACGTGATGATCCGTGTTTTCAAAATTATGGGGGTAAGATGTAGTCTAAGGCTTTTCAATTTGGGGCGTAGCGGTAGCTTGGCTTGTTACACAATACTTTCCAGATTTAGTGTTGCGTGACCATCTAAATTATCGTACATGCCACGCTTATAGTGTTCATGGTGCAATTCATTGAGAGTTGTCACGCTTTCGCCTGGTCCTTGCTTTAAGAAAGCAAGTTAACGGATTTTTTGAATCTTTTCGTAGCACGCAGTTTCAAACAAGGTCAGTGGTTCTGGACCTGCGCAGTGTAACCATTGGTTGGACAACGCTTCTGATGAATATGAGGTAAACATAGAGTTTGTTTTGAAGACAGCTCATTATCAAACTAACGTAAATTGGATGTTTTGATCAGATGTGTAACGGTCGCTTATGAAAAAATTCCCTTGACATCACAGCCACCTCTCCACCCGTGACAGTTGCTTAACCACACGTGCCCTCCCCGTTTCTCGACGGACAAAGCCCAAGGAGCACACCGGTATTTTATTCCATTCCCGACCAAGAGGCCGCACTTTCTTTGGCAAGCAGTCTGTCCGGATACGATTTTCTGAGCAAGCGCAGAGTCTTCGTTTCGTATCCTAAGCCAATCAGGCTTTCAGATTGGACGGAAGTCCGTGAATCGGTGCTTACCAAAAGAAGCGCAGGCTCTAGGGACGAGAATGATTCTAAAAAAATGAATCGGCTGCTTAACTGGCTGAGTGAATATTTCCACAGGCTTTCGAAGAAAATTTCTTTAAATTTGCCAGTATATTAACTTAAGCCAGGTGGGAGTGCAAACTACCTTGTCTGTGGAAAGGATATATCGGCGTTAAATCCAATTTTTAATAGTGCACGAGCAGTTTTTCTGGTGGGGATTTAGAAGCCGCAAAAAATGGGGAAATTAGCTCTTTACTTGTCTTTATCCTTTGTCCATTTTATTTTTCCATTCTTACAATGTTCGCTCCTTTTTTGCGCAGCACAAAGAAATCAACGACATCAAACTTTTACTCCGTGTATTGAAGATGTACATACCTCTGCCTGTGTTTTGGGCCCTTTTCCATCAACAGGTAAAATATTTTATTTGTTAGACCAATGTTGCATCAACATAACCGCAACTCGAACCGTCACGCAACACGTGTCTCTGTTAGAAGAGCCGGAGAGGGGTTACCGTGACAGCTCAATTAACGGCAGCGAAAGGAAACAAGAATCAGTTGCGTTACTAGAAACAGGATTTCTATGGTAACTTCTGCAATAGTTTTCAGGTAGTTTTTAGCGAGACCAAACTGCCTACAAAGCTGTGTCATAAATCAAGTGACGTAAACGTAGGAGATTTAAAACCTATCAAAGCTAGCTTGTTCAGAAGATGTCAGGACCTAATTTATTTCTAGGTGAATCGCGAAAAAGGAATATTAGAAGGTTGAAGAATACAATTGCAGACCTCGTTGTTTCGCAGGCTTGCTCTTAACGTTATCAGTCTCCAAAACAAAACAACACTATTGATCAAGGTTCTCTATTTCAAAAACCAATATCGTCACCGGTTGTTGCATCTTTGCTTTCTCCCTGAGCAGCAAAGTTCGTCTTTAATTTTGCTTCAAATCACGTTCTTACATATTTTCAGGGTTCAAGCTGGACTCTTCAAGCTGAGCAGATGGACGGCGACTTGGTGAGTTGTTGAACACAGGCAAAGCTTTAATCTGATGGCGCAGTGGTGAGAGCGCTCAATTCCGGCACGGTGCCATATGTGGGTTGAGTTTGTTGCTGGCTCTCGCCTTGCTCCGAGGGTTTTCCTCTGGGTACTCCGGGGCTTTCCTCCCTTTACAAAAGCTAACTTCTCCAAGTTCCAATTCGACCAGGATAGAGGACCTGCGTCATCTAAGGTTGATGTGGTTTGCTTTCTAAATATTGAAAACTATTGTAATTTGTATTTTAAAGTTTTTTNTGGCAACAGTGATGTGCGGCCGAACCTTGAAACCTGCACTCTATTTCAGACCGAAATCTGTGACTTTCCATACCCTCTTAAGGCATTACTGTCCAAGCAACCAAGGTGTTAGAAAAAAACTGCGTGTGATCTTGATTTTAAGACGATCTTTTTTGGGGGGTGGGGAGTCTATTAATTAGAAACGGGGCGTTTATTAGAGAGTGGCGTCTATTTCACACTCTACACCGCATCAGGGGGTATTAAATGGATAGGAGGCGTTTATAAGAGAGGGGGCGTTTGTTAGGTCATTCACAGTAATTCTCTTTTCACTTTATTTCTCTTACAGGCTTTGAATCCAATTCTGGTCCTGATCCTTATACCTCTATACGATGGAGTTATTTATCCTATGTTTGAGCGATGTCAAATGCCTCTCAGGTAGATAGTTGTGGTTGATTGATTGATTGACCGACCGCCCGATCGTCCAACCGTATTTCGCCCCAAAGCCCCTTTCGTCGGCAAATGTTAAATCCAATCAATCAGAGTATTCTAGTAATTTTTAATTTCACCCAGAATTAATTCACCAAGCCAGTGGCTTGCATCACAAGTTGATCAGCAGCACAAACAACCTCGTCAACACGGTCTTCGAGGCAAATCCAACTGACAGACATCTTGAATTTGAATGCTTTAAGATCCTTGGCATTACATTGCAGCATGGTATATCATGACAATGGCGAGAAGCTTTCATTTCAATTACCGAAGCACTAGTCCTTTTGCTGATTAGTCAAGAATACTCGGAAATTCTTCGGGTTCCTCGCCCTTTCCGTCCTTTCCATTCAGTGGATAAAGACAAGAAATTGTGATATTATAGACGATAAATAAAGAAGACAGTTCTCCAAGTCTAAGGTGTGGGCGTTGTCCCAAAGTTGAGCTATTCGTTGAAATGTTCCGCGCAAAATTATAGAGCCTAGTATGGAGCCGCCATGCATGTTGGAGGACCCCCTTAGTCCTCCAATATGGCGGCCGGAAAATAGTGTAAACATCTAGAACTTACTTTGACTATCTAGGCGACTGATTATCTGAACCAATCCAAAAATAATTTACACAAGCACATTTCTTAATATTTTAACTCCTACAATGGCAAAAATCACGAGATAAGTGTATATTTTTTGACGAACGCGATCTTAGCTTTATGTCACGCACCGCCATAACTCCGCACTCTGGTTTCCAAACGAAGGACGCTATTGAGCTGGAAAGTTGTAAACAGATATAAATTTAGTACCCCTTATGTCTGATGAGGATAAAACCTTTAGTGGCTCTTTAGTTTTGGATTTGAGAATTTAATGACTTCACTTAAACACACTCTATACGAGAAAGAGAAATTGCTCTTTCATAAACCTTGTTTGTTGATCTTGTTTTAGTTTTTTGTTTTTTTTTTTTGATAACCTTGTCAGTGTAATCGCTTTATTTGCTATTCCTTCTGATGATTCAATCCATTCCAAACTAGTTATCGCGACTCAATTTCTTCCCCCAAGAATTAATGCGAAATCGTGTATACTGGATGTACGAATATAGCAATATTGGACAGCAAAGTAATTTGTTTTGATACGCGACTGATGAGTAAGCAAATTCTCCTTTCTAGTATGACTTAAAATGTACGAAGATCAGTAAAAGGAATTAGCATGTTACTATGAAGTTTTTACTCCTGGCATTGAAATATAAATCACGCGTCTTTCTGCGATTTTGCTATTCCATACCACAGTGCCCTGAAGAAGATGTCTGGAGGCCTGGTGCTCGCCGCGGTAGCTTTTGTTATCTGTGCTTTTGTGCAGATTCAGATCCAAGTAAGTTGACTAAACGCTCCCCTTCCTTGCACGAGTAGAAATGGGTACGAACAAATAACCATGGTAACCTGATAAATTGAACCCCATCCAGGGGGACAGTCTTGCAATATTCCTACTGGGGAAGGTTGCCTACTTTTTCAGATACAGTAGAACCTCGATATGGCGAAGGGCCAAGGGACTGGCAAAATATGAATGAATGAATGAATGAATGAATGAATGAATGAATGANCTGCGATGGACTAGCATCCCATCCAGGGGGGAGTAGAAATACTCCTAGTCGCTTCATGCTACAGAAACCGGGATAAGCTCCGGCCTGATGGGCCACTTACCTACCTGCTTACTTACCTACCAAAACATAACACAGTAAAGTACAACATAACAGAGCATAGTAGAATAATGGGCAACAGATCGCCAATGCTTTCTTTAAGTAATATTTAAGTTCAGATCAGAGTAAGTATGACTTCTGTGGAGCAATTAAAAAAAGTGCGATTACCGCAGTACAAAGCACGGTCGACTTTTCTCGACAGGCGTGTGACAGGGAACAGAAAAGTCCTGAAAGAAGAGTGTTTGATACTTTATTTATTTTTTCTTTTTTTGTGGTTCATTTACCAACGCAGAAGTCACCAGTGTTTGTCGGTCAGTCGGGATTGATGAATTTTACACTCAATGCCCGTGGCGATGGCTGTAATGTCAAAGAGAAGCGCGTTAGCTTGCAACTCGACGACAGGAAAGTTTTCAGTGCCGTGGTAGAAATCTCCAATAATGAGTTCATTTTGAACAAGGTAAAGTAAAGAATGTACGTTTATCTGTTTTTGTTCAGTTTTTCGGTTGAACGGTGCAAGCTCGGTCCCAGGTTACACCGACTATCTTCTCACCACACTAGAGCGAAAGAAATAAAATACTGAGAACTACATGTAGAAACAATAAAACTTTGAGGTCATATCATTTCCTTTGGAAGCGTTCTGAGAACTTTGTTTCTTTGTCTTTTTTTAGTTTACAATGAAACTGCCTGATATTGACATCAATAAAGCTGAAACCCGAGTGAGGTATGTCTCTATTGATATTACCTGGAGACCTTACTTTCTTCTTAAGCTAGTTAACAGAAGGACTACTTACATAATGATGGTAAATTGTGTTGTGTTCGTTTGGGTCAGCGATAGAGCAAGTGAATTCCATCTGAATCCACGTTTTCTATGACAGTTGCTTTTGTATCGTCGAGCTGACGAAGTAAGTGTTCGGAAGTGCTCGTATTAACCTCTGATTGGTTGATAAGTATCGGAAATTCTTCGGTTCCATCTTCGTGAATACGCCTACGTGAGGCTCTTTTAAGGGCAATCCTGTCTTCGTGTAAACCTTAGAATATCTGAGGTTGTTAGAAGTACATTGCTTTCATTTTCTTTTCGCTTCTTTAGAGTGATTTACTCTGGTGGAGACAAGCTGCCTGAGAGAGTGGACGTGGAATTTAAGTCAATATTCAGTAATGTCAAACCAACAGTTCTGGAGAACATTGGGCCGGAAAACTCTTCCTATAGTCTGATAGGAACTGGCGAGTAAGTACTGGTGCCCGCCCTTAAAGTAGCTCAGACACGGTATTTTGACTTATTTTTGGCCAGGTACAAAATTTCTGAATAAAAACTAGCGATAAAAAGCGACGTTTCGATCTCCCTGATATCATTTTCAAGTTGTAGAAAAAGCGAATGAAATATATATGGGTTACTGACCGAACAAACTTGGTCAATAAAGGATTTATTATATGGCTTTCGGGGAAATTTTTTCTTGCGGGACACGGCGGGTAGTCCCGAGCGGGCAAGATAGCTTCACCTTGCCCGCTCGGGTAGCCAATCAACGCGCAGGATTTGATTCATCTTCCCCGCTCACGGAGCTGGTCATATAATAAACATATATAAGTACAAATTAGGGCGTGAGAATGTCCAACGATAAAATATGTGAACAAATACAAGCGCTAAAATGTAAGTATTAAAATAACAAGATGATATACGAAACTTTAAAAAAAACTTTGCACGCATTGAACAGACTCTTTGTTTAAAGTTAGCTTAAGCTCCTTTATAAAGAGCATTTCGTAGGTCAGGCAATCAAATTTACTTTGGCACTTTCTCAAGATCTTAAAATCATGATATGTCACTTGGGACTGTTCCATGTTGTTCTTTAATGTGATTCCCGATTGAAGACGATCCTTTGTGTTCCTCAACCCGCTGATAGAGGTGTCGGCACGTATACCTGACATAGTTTGCATCGCACAAACCACACTTGTAGTAGAGTAAACAACGCGTTACTGCGTACAAAATTACCTTTAAATTGGAGGAAACCTGAAAATGATAGTTTATCAAGCGGTCAGTATAAAACGCAAACTGCGGACTGCAGATAGTGACTGCTGTCCAGGGGTAATGCAGACTGCAGACTACAGACTTTTTAAGTATGTATCGTGTTATTTCCATGATCGAGTGCCAGCCACGGTAAACAGAGTCATTCAGGCTAATCGTAGTGAAAATCTGCACTCTGGTTGGATTGAATATCACTCCGGTTAGGTTGGATATCACTCGGGTTAGCCAAGACAGCGCTCCGGTTAGCCTGTTTACGCTTGGTTCTCAATGATGTAAACGGTAACACGAATCAGTCAAGAATGCTACAAAATGCAGTCTGCAGTCCTCAGTTTATCCCCGGTCCGCAGTCTGCAGTCCGCAGTCAGCGTTTTACACTGACCGGTTTATTAAGATAGAAAAACACCAAAGAGAATAATTAACAATTATTCACCGAAGTGGAGGAAAATATCCAACACTTTCACTGACACCGAGGTGAATAATTGTTTTAGTATTTACCACACAAGCTGAATAATTAGCGGACCTAAACGTTATTTTATGTGTGACAAGCGGTCGGAAATTTTAAAAGCGTTCGCGCCGGCTGCTCGGAGGTGAATAGTACTTGCTAATCACCTCCGAGTTAACCAATCAGAGCGCGCGAAAAGCACTATTCACTTGTGTGGTATATACTAATAAACCATATAGGAACAAGGGTGGTTAAGGATGGAGAAGATTGACACGGATTACAAACGACGAACTTGAAAAATGTAGGCTAAACTTTTCAATATGCGCAAACCGTGTCGTAGCTCCTTCAATACAGCTCGTCACGCTCTGTTCTCTTCCCTTTGCTATGACGACGAGCTTACGCTCAAAATATGAGCTTTACAAAACTGAGGCTGGTTTACACTAGCGCCTTAGCATAAGAAGGAGATACTTAAATGTAGAAATACTCCTAGTCACTTCATGCTACAGAAACCGGAATAAGCTTCGCCTGATGGGCCACTTAGCTCGTATGCAGACTTTACCTACTTAGACTGAGCTAGTAATTGTTTTGCTATTTTCCCCGCCAGGTACTATATAGACACTATCATGCATGCGACTAATGGAACAAAGTTTCACTCTGTGGTGAGTATTTGCGCAAGCTAGGTCAGTGTAAAACAGAAAAGATGTTTTTTATTTCTCTTTTCCTTCCTCTGATGGTCGCTGTCTTAACCTAATATGAGCTAATTAAACTTATTTTTAACCAATTACTTTGTCTGAAGGCAGTGTAATTAAGAGCCAATCGGAACTCATGGAAAAAACTCGCGTGGGAAAACATGTAACTGGTTGAAGCGCGAGAAAATACGTTGGCCACATGGAAAGAGTGTAAGCTCTCGCAAGCGCGGGAAAAAGTGGTCTAGTCTTAACAGTTGATTTTCATTGGCTCAGTAGATAATGTCGTAGCCCTGATTGGCTGCAGCACGTTGCACGGGTTTCCTTAACTCGTGGATCGATGCGTAGTGAACTAGTTACTGAAACTTGAAAACGCAACATAGTTGAAACACAGTTTCAGTCGTTGGAAACACACGTCTTCGTACCTAACGCTCAGTCTTCACAGTGTTTCTTCCCTTGAGTAGCAAAGTACGTTAAATCTCTTTCCTTCTAGGAGCAAAACAGGAAAATCAAGTTTGGTAATTTTGGAGGTTACACTGTGGTTATTCACCCGCCTAAGGGTGATCCCGACTCTGGCAAGGTAAATACTAATGCTAATATGTGTTTTTTGAAAGGAATAAGTTGAAAACAAATTGACATATGTGAAAAAAAATCAGGGTATGTGAGAACTGCTCCGGGTGTTCAAGGATGGCTGAAGCTAACCAGTCGGCAAAGCATTATCCGCTGGATAGCATAGTTTGTTTTATAAACACTTCAATGGATAACGATTTAGTTATCCAGTGCATGGATAGCACCCTTTGAAACACAGTTGATGGAGGAGAATGGTTATAAATCCCTATAGAGTTCTTTGTTGTACATTTTCACTCGTTGTTTTAGCCTTAACCGTGCACAAAACACAATAGTTGTTTATTTCCGACCGAGGAACAAATGAAAGAAACGTTACGGTTATTGTAATTCACGTATACTGTATGCGCGAAAAACAAAAAAGATTGTGCACGGTCGTGGACCTTCCAACATAAATCTTGGCATCTTTTTTGCTGCTTTGAAGTTTTCCGGGCTTCATAGCCATTCCCCTCTATTAACTATGCTTTCAACGTCTGGGCGCTGGACGATAACTGCAGCTAACTATATATTTAGTCACTTTCCTTTCCTCTCTTTTACCAGTTTGATTCATTCATGTACGAGGATGCTCCGGGTACGACCGTGTCTCGTGTGTTACAAGTTCCACAGTATGTTGTGCTGACTGCATCTGAGGTCATGTTCTCTGTGACTGGCTTGGGATTTGCATACTCGCAGGTGAGTAATTACAGCCCGTCCACACCACGTGTTTAAAGGAGTACGTCACGGTTTGCATATCTTGAGGAGTTTAGCCTGAATTTGTCAAGTTCTTCGTTTGTAATCCGTGTTAATCTTCTCCATCCTTAACCATCTTTGTTCCTTTACAATTTATTAGTATCTCTTTGGTGTTTATCTATCTTAGTAAAGTACTATTTTCAGGTTTCTTTCCATGTTAAGGTAATTTTGTACATGACCAAACTATACCTTAAAGTGCCTATGAAGTAAAAAATAATTACTGCTTATTTGAAAGGCTTTTCAAAGTAAAGAAGAATGGCGTTTTCCTTTTNTTACCTTACCTTCTGTCTGTATGAAAAAATGTGTTCTTAAACCTACACGGAAAAAGTCCTCAATTGTTTAAATAGCGTACACTGTATTGTTACTGTGTTTTATTCTTGGTGGTGCAAATGCGAAAGACACGGAACAAAATGGCGGGCTTACAATGTGCCTCCAGTCTAATCTGGTACCCAGTTCTCACTCTGTTTGACTCCATTCAGCTTGGTCGGGGGAGATCTGGGCTCGATATTTCCTACGGTGAAGGAAGGAAAATGGTTTTCACGTGCATTTTTTGTTTTTCGCAGGATAAAGAGATGTTCCTGTACGGAGGTCTAATGGGCGTGATCGCCATTATCTTTGGAATCATGTCCTACTTCTACAAGTATGTCACTCCGGAGGAACTTGGAGAAATCGCCAAGGATGAAGAAAAGGAGAACCTCGACTTAAACGGGATCCCGATGGAGGATCGTTCACCGGATAGCAACGGAGATGACACTAAAGTGTAACGTAACTGTACACTTAAATGTAACGCAACTTAACACTAAAGTGTAACATATATACCTTTAATTTGTAGAGAGCCTGAGACCGTTTTACTCTTCAGTCCTTCTCTTTATAGATCGTTTTACTACTCAG